CCTGACCACCCTCAAACCATTCCCCTGCTGACCTGATTGCCCCTAACTGCACTCCCCTGCTGGCCTGGTCACCCCTAACTGTCCTCCCCTGCATGCCTGGTCACCCCCAACTGCCCTCCTCTGCCAGCCTGGTCACCCCAACTGCCCTCCCCTTAAGGCCTGGTCCCTCCCAACTGCCCTCCCCTGTGACCTGATCACCCACAATTGCCCTCCCCTGCTGGCCATCTTGTGTCCACATGGGGTTAGCCATCTTGTGTGTTGGAGTGACGGTCAATTTGCATATCACCAGCTTATTATATAGGATAAGTGAATATTAACTATTTGTTAACTGGTTAGACCAGCCATGGGCAAACTACGGCCCGCGGGCTGGATCCGGCCCGTTAGAAATAAATAAAGCTAAAAAAAAAAAAGACTGTACCCTTTTATGTAATGATGTTTACTTTGAATTTATATTAGTTCACACAAACACTCCATTCATGCTTTTGTTCTGGCCCCCCAGTCCAGTTTAAGAACCCATTGTGGCCCTCGAGTCAAAAAGTTTGCCCACCCCTGGGTTAGACCCTATTCTGTTAAATCTTGTTTTGGTTATTCTCTATGTTAGTTTTCCAGATAATGTCTAAGTTGTAACAAGGATACACAGTCAACACACAAAAATCATGTGTTTCTATGTGCTAGCAATGAAGAATTGGAGAGCAAAATAAAAAACACAAATCCACTTATAATTACTCCAAAAATAAAATACTTATGTGTACTTCTAACAAAACTATATGTAAATATAATTTGCTATACACTGGAAACTACAAAATACTAAAGCAGGTTGGCATGTATCATGCCTTTTCCCAGAGGACAACTCTGTAACCCCAAATGCTGCTACTGAAATCTTTGGGTAAAAAATCATTAAACACTTAATAATGTTATAGGCTAAACAAATTCTATGGCAAAAATAAAGTAATCTAAATTTATTGGATATACATTTAACAGATTTTGCAACTTTTCTATAAATTAACTGCCAATTAAAATTAAATTACAATTTATAAAAATGTAGGAGCCAATCCTCTAGCTAATGAAATTAGTATGTTTGTCATATTCATTAAGAACCTACTATAGATTTTTTCTAAACTTTTACTGATACAAGAAGCTTTTTAATTTTGTAATAACAAAATGTTATATCAAAGCAAATCTTTAAGAAGGCAAAATATCTGTTGTTATCTTCTTGAAATTAACCTTGCGGTATGAAAACTGCCCTTAGAAAATGGGGTTACAGGTGATATATTTAGAAATTGAGGGTTTTTAATTTTTGTAATTTCCATCTTACATCCTGTGGTGAAATAATCAGGAGCTAGATTTTAAAAAAATAAGGTATGATTTGAAATCTTATCCAACACCCACCCCCCAAGTTCAAGAGAAATCAGGACTAAATGTGAATTAAATGTATCATGATATAGAATTAGTTTTTCATAATAAGAAAGAGAAACACTTCAATTTTAATTAAAGCATTCACATTTTAAAATAATAGTTTAGTTCAAACTCCATGTGCAATATGATGTCTTTAATTTGATTGCTACCCATGGCACTTCAAAAGTAAGTGTAATTGCTGACAACTAGGAAATATTAAAACTAGATTTGTTCTGCTTTAACTATGTCCATTGTCATCTTTTACTAATTTAACTAGAAGGCACTATAAGGGCTTCAGCCTGTGCAATGAAGAGGCAATAGTGCTCAATCAGACAAGTCCCATATTGAGTATCAGATACCAAAGACCCACGACTGAAATCACTGTGTCTAGACTCTCTGGCACCTGACTTTACTTATTTACCAGTGACCAGAGGCCAACCCCCACAGCTCTCTGTATTCACATACACCTCTACCACCCCCAACCCCCTGCCCAAACATCTTTGAATGATTATGGCAGAACTTTGCATGCCTCAGGAATCTCTTCTGACTGGCTACTCCCTAGCTCTGCTGTTTGAAGTGATGCTCTGGTTTCTGAACTTCAGCAGATAATGGCAGGCAGGAGCAAAGGGGGCTGTCAGAAAGGACGTTTACCAGCATTCAGCTAAAAAGAAGCATGTAGATCAAAGAGGGGCCAAACAGGACAACTATGGTGGAAAACATGTGGATCACTATGAAGATCCCTGAACACTGTTCTAGGGTAAAATATTAAATAACACCATGACATCATTACCTAAACATGTACTTTGATTGGCCACTCTATTACCAATAAATACTTTTATAAGCATCTGGATGGCATTTGCACCTATTTAAACAAAACATGCATCTTAGAGGTCTAAATAACAATGAACTGTTAATGTGTACTTTTAACTATTATTAGAATACAACTATTAACTCCTGGTTATCCCAAGTATGCTTACCTAAGACAATTTACCCACTGAGACCATTAAGATCATATGTAAAGAAAAGACTTGCCCTGGCCCCAAAACGTTGCAGAGTACTGACATAATAGGGAAAAAATTAGAATATATTGGATAATTAGAGGCAATGAAAAAGTACAAAAGAAGCAAAGCAAGATAATATTGAAAGACATTATAGGACACACTGTATATATAATCAACTACACTGAATGTTAATTTTCAAAAGTGAACTCTAATCTAATTATAGGTTTAACCTATAAAACACATATAAAAGGAGCAGTATTTAAATTGAACTATGAATGGATCCAAAATAATGAGAAAAAGATCGGCTATTTCACTAATAATACCTTACTTAGTGTTTTACAGCTTAGAAAAGCTCCTTAATATATCTCTAATGTAATGAAAGAATATGACATACTACATACTCTGATCACTGATATGAATGAGTGCTAAATCTTTGCTTTCCCATTTTCAAAGTGATTTTAGCCTTCGCATTTGAAAAATTTATTTGCAATACTTGACCATCTTTTTTTTTTTTACCATCTTCACTAAATAAAAAATATGCATAATCTCAAAGTGAATAGAGTATTGCATTAACTCTAAAATATTCTGAACCTCAGATATAATTTTATTTAAGTAAATAAATTTGTTGTCACAAAGAAGCTTAAAGCTTTACTGGTGTTTTAAACATTAATTCAAAAAGCCAATAACTATGAAAGGACTATCTTTTTGATTCCTGGAGGAATTAAGCTGAATTCCAGATATGCTTCCAATGATTCTTTTATTTTATAATGAACCTGGAACTGGGTGGCATATCAAGCCATGCCAACTTTTCCCTAAATATGTCAGAATTGAGTCCTGTAAAAGTACAAGTTATAGGCTGGATAGCACTTTAGGAACAAATATATTCTAGAGTATCATTTGGTTTCTCATAATGTGACATACTAAAAAGCTTCAGGATGTTTATGACATAATTTGATAATATAACCTCACCTAATCCTATTAGGATTGAAGTTTTAAAAAGATAAAATGTTAAATACTAAGCGAGTTTGAGAAGATTCTGTTAATAAAATATACATCATAAATGTTCTGAAAACCTTACTGCAAAAATGTTTGATGTTAGGAAATTATCTGGCAAGAAAACATGCATCAATATTGTTCTAAAAGGTCTGAGAGAATTTTTTACACATAAAGTTGTCAACAAATAGATAATAAAACGTCTCAAAGGTAAACAAAATAAGCTTTTATTTATGATTCTTTATTTAAAATAAAATTTTATATTTTATGTCTGAGATTATACATTCTAAGAGAGAAGGGTAACTCCAAATTCAAGATTCAACAAAATAACTTTTCCATCCCCTTTTAGTTTAGATTTCTCTCCTTTATTTAATTTTATTTTTTTTAAAAACTATAATCTGGGTAAAAACAGTCAATCTAGGCAAGAATATTATTCTTTTTTGGCTGCTTTCCAATTCATATCCTGTAGTCAATGAAGTTCTGACACTAAATGGGATTGAAAAAGGAACACCCTTTGAAACTGCAAAGCAGAGACCCTGGGAACATGTGGAGTGAAACTGTAGTAAATCACCTGTAATCTCCCTCTGACATGGCTACTCTTTCATTGAAAACTTGTTTGACAAAAAGCTTGATTACACTTTGCATTGGCTACAGTCTGACATGCATTATCTTTGTAAGAAGCCTTGCCTTGTTAGATAAAATATGCTATATATTCTTTAAAGGAGATCTATTTCCTATAAACACACATAACTAGCTTATCTCCTGACATAAAAGGCTAAGAAGTTATCCTTGAGAGTTTATCAGTTTTTAATTGTATGTAGATAAAGTGTCAAAATTATGGAATATAAAATTCAATTTTAGAATTTTCTTACTGATTTGGGATGAACAGAAGGACGTTCAATTAATAAACAAAGAAATTATGGTCTATTTTTATTATTTATTACTTTTCTAATAATACAAAGTTAATAACTTACATTATACTAACGAGAAAGTGCCTGTTAGGAGTCTTAAGAGCAATTACTTTTAATAAGTATAAACTATTATTCATATTCTAAAGTGCTTTAAAAAGTATTACTTTATTGTATATTATACATCCTGTAATTTTCCTTTATCTATTTTAGAAAATCATTTTGTAGAAAATAATGTAATATTAAAATCAGCCCAACCAGTGTTTTAAAACAGATAATCAAATTACCGGAGCTCAGTTTAATAAAGATTAACGGAACACTAGTTATTCTATGAATGTAAATTCCCTAAGAGTAAAATCATATGTATAGAATCTCTACCCTTATAGTCCATGCAAACAAAAAAAAATCACTAAAGTCTTTCAAGTAGACTTTAACATATGAAATGAAATGTATCAAGCAACTGACAACAGTGCTATAAAAATAATTTTTATGAAGCACTTTCCCATCAGCGAATGCAAAGCACTTAAAACCATCAACCATAATAGAATTAAGGGCAACTGACAAAGTTGGGAAATGTTTGTAATATGACAGAGTTCAAATAGTTACCTATGTATCTATATCTTATTTATTAATCATGAAAATATTAACACGGCAATGAAAGAACTGTCAAGAGACTGAAGGAATAATTTATAACATAATATGGATACAAAACATAAAAAATTTTCAATCTCATCATAGAAATGTAAATAAAAAGACACTTCATTTTTAGAGAAATGATAATATCCAGTGTTACTACAAGTGAAGTGTTAGCTGGAAATAGAAATTTATGTCTTTTTAGAAGGCAATTTAACCACAATACATCAAATACAAAAGTGTTCATGCTTTTTGACCTAGTAATTCTACTTTTAGGAATTTAAACTAAAGAAAAATCAGAGATATGAATAAACATTTGTATACTATAATATTTATCCCACATTTTTTCAGTTGCTTACATACCTTTACTTCTGGTTTTATGTGATAAACTAGAAAAAAACTAAACATACAATTTAACAATATTTAAATTATGGCACATTTATGCAACAATGTTATACAACTTTTAGAAATTTTTGAAGAACATTCAGTAACATGGGAGAATACTTATGGTCTGTGCGGTAAATAAAACAATGTGTAATTATATAGAGCATATAATCCCAATATATTATTTTTTAACAATGTAAAGGTAATGTACCAAAATATTAAATGATTACCTCTGCATTTGGGATAACAGTTATTTTCATTTTATACTGTTCTGTACTTATACCAAATTTATATTATAATGCATTAAAAATTTATTTTTAGGAAAAGGGCATCTGGGAAATAAGAGAAAAATGAAAAAAATTTATTTGACTGTAGTTTTTAAAAACACTGAAACAACCTACCTGTGGTATACAGTCAGTGTATGCGAACATTGATTTAAAGCGGTCATCCATGCTTATGTGGTAAAGTACACACATTGCTATCTGTTTGTAGTTTTCATTGCCTGGGAATAAGAAATCATAGAAATGGTGATTGATAATTATATGATTAAATTTTTTGGTATAACTCACTCCAATTAATGCAATAAAAATTTTAAACTACTGACTCAAAGCTTCTAGAAAATATTTCAAGCTCCCTATTTCAATTCCCAAGTCTGGAGCAAACTATCTGTAAAATATTATAAACTTCCAAGAGATAATGTATATTTTGAAAGATATATTTTTGGATAAAACATGAGGCCCAAATCTAAAAATTAATAATTTTCAGTAGCCCACTATAAAGTTGACCTCCCCATCCTTATTTTTTAAATCAAAATATGTTAACACTTTCCTATAAGGATCTGCTGATCCAGAAGCACAGGCTTAGGGGAGTTACCCATACTACAAGGCTCCGTTCTGATAAGAACTCTTCATTATTCTCTCATTCTCAACAGGTTATAAACTCCTTAACAAAAATAAACTTGAGAAAAGGAAATCATTACAGTACAGATTATTGTCATCAATATATGTTCCTCTACCACCACCACAAGCAATGAGAATCTCTTTCTTCTTTCTTGGGTGTAATAGAACTTAACTTCTCTCCTAGAGTGGGGAATGGTCTTGGAGGGGATGGCCTATTAGGAAGATGAAAGCATACAGAAAGAGAAGTCTGAAAATACTGAAGACAAACCTCCCAACTAGCTATATTACTTCATATATCTTCGAGTAGCACGTGCCAGGCAAATAAAACCTACAGGAGTTTCCCCCTTGTTTGGGCTGAGCACAATCGAACAGAAGAAACTGGAATATGACTAACACTACACCAGAGATATTTTTTCCTTGAGGAAATTGTGAAAGGAGGTGATGACAGATCTAAGGGACTACAATACTGTACTCGGAAGTCTATATAACCCAAGTTGCTGATACGTCTTCTAGATTTTGTCTGGGTAAAGGTTCCCTAGAAGTTAATCAATCGATTTGCAAATATCTATAAATCTGATTTTCATCTCTTTTAATATTTATTTAAGAAATGAAAAAAGAGTCAACTGACACTTGCCCTTTTATTCAGAAAAAAATGTAAATAACTCATAAATGGTATTGTTACCCAGATGTTACCTTGATGATTCTAATTCAATCTTGTTACATGCCACATATTTCCTTTATCCTCTAAAGAACTGCAATATCTGCCCTGACCAGTTTGGCTCAGTGGCTAGAGCGTCGGCCTGTGGACTGAAGAGTCCCAGGTTCGATTCCGGTCAAGGGCATGTACCTTGATTGCGGGCACATCCCCAGTAGGAGTGTGCAGGAGGTAGCGGATGGATGTTTCTTTCTCATGGATGTTTCTAAATCTCTATCCCTCTCCCTTCTTCTCTGTGAAAAATCAATAAAATATATTTTTTTTAAAAAAAGAATTGCAATATATGAGTGAAGATTACTGCATGTAAACCACAGGTACCTTATTCATTGATTCAATAATTATATAAATGGTTAACTTGATTAAAAAAACAGCCTATAACCTTATGACATCTAGTAGATATCTGACAGCTGCAACAAAAGACAAAGTATTTTAGGAGAAAAGTGAATACCTGGAGAGAGAAGAGTGAATACCTGGAAATAACCTGAATTCATTTCTTCAAACACAGCTGCATACAGAAAATAGAGGCTTTCTGGCTGCCAACATTTATTATTACTTAAAGGCTAATTTTCAGATCATATAGCAATAAACAGCCATTAAGAGAGATTAAGTGGTCCAAGTAAAATAAGAGCTTATCCTTTATTATAAGTTAATAATCTTTATTCATTGAAAGAAAGGATATCTTAGTTCCTAAAACATAAACCTAAAAACAAAACAAAACCAACAACCAAAACATAACAAAAACAAAACACAAAACACCAACAAACAAACCACCACCCAACAATCTTGTCTATCCTAAATGAATTCGAGGGGCTGAAGGGTATGATTTTCTCCTAAGAATTCATGACGGAGAACTATAAACTCCAGCTAACTAGCTATGATTCCTCCACATCCTACAAATGGCAGGCATTTCAAAAGGGTTCCTTTAAGACTTATAGACATCAATTATTCCCTAACAGCATCCCAAGTAAAAACAGGCTGCCAATAGTGTGCTGGCACAGCACCAAAGGCCCTGTGAGTTCTGAGCAGAGCAGTGAAAAGACTGAATATTTTGAGAACTAGGCCTTAATGAGTAGAGGTGGATTAGGCAAATCTGTTCAAGTAATAAGGTCTGGCTGGAAAAAAATGGCCTCGTCATTATACTTCTTTTGGTATTTATAGTAATAAACATGAATCATGATGAACTCACTGGCTATTAAATGCAGAGGTCATAAGTACTTCGATAGGATTTCCACAGGAATTCACCGTTAATTAGCTGGATCATTATTTGAAAGTGTTCCTGAATTATCTTAGCAGTTGTGCAGCCATTCCTCCAAAATTGGTCATTCCCAGCTGAGGGCAGTTAATGCCTTAACAAACTGGTCATTAACTCCAGTAACTGACTTTGTGGGAATTACTGCACTTATAAAATACAGTCAAGAGGTTTTGTCTTTCTTTCTTTCTTTTTAAAGAAAATGCAGCTGTAGTTCAGCTGGAACAGCTGAAGGAGGAAAAAAAATCAGTTCTTCGGGCTGCTCTCACGATCAATATTCTGCCAATTAAAGGGCAAACGCATGCTGATGGGTTTTGAATTTTAAAATGTCTTCAGTTTTTTCATCTCTGAAGTGATTAGTAAAAACACCATTTAGCCACTAATTTTGTAAGACACTTGGGATTTTCCATTCACAGTTCAGTCATGCAGAAATATGAGTTCTGAACACCAGAACTCGAGGCCAAATTTCCGCTTCTGCAGTAGACCCAGCCCAACACTTTGTAAAAACAGAGTGAGAACACAAGTTATGGGCAACATCATTAGCCAGATTCTTATTCCCTTCTACACTCCATGTCTTCATTCAAAGTAGAAAACTCCCTTTGAAGTCACAAAGCTCCATGAAAAGGTAAAAGAAGTGGGAATATAAGCACCCTTCTATTAGAATAGAGTAGCATCAAGGCCATATTTTACCCCTAGAAAGTCTATGTGAATACAACATAGTTCAAAAATCACATGTGTCTTTAAGTTTCCTATAGAGTCAGAGCCCTTAAAGCTTTATCAATATAGTGAAAATGCCACAGGCAAAAACACCACTTAAAAGATAATTGCAACAATTATTGAACATATATACTGAATACAGTGAAATATACTTAAAAATATACTGAAGGTACATTAGAACAACTTTGGCACATGTTTCCACATAATTTTATGTTTAACCTATTAAACTTGAAATTGGAGAGACCAATTTTTAAGAATGCAACTATATTGGATAGTCTCCTATTTTATAATAGACTTGTTCACAATCAAATCTAGTAAAGATTTGAGATAAACAGATAAAAACCAAGTGTTTTTAACCATGAGTTGAGGTGGTGTGGGGAATGACAATTTATAGGTTACAATGACCAGTATGAAAACAAGTGTAACAATAGTTTTGTGATACAATGATTCATGGATAAATGATTTTGTGTCCAATTATTTAATTTAAAAAGTATTAAGACATTGAAATTATAAATCTACCATTAAGCTCAATAGCTATTACATTAATAGGCATTCACTTAATAAGGGCTCTAAAATCCAACACTTTTGATGCATTTTTATTCCTGTTTAGTATGTAAAACTGTACATTTTGCCATGTAGCTTATTTTTAAAATATTTTGTTATTTTATTACCTTGCTTGTGATATTCTTTAATTACACCCAGAGCATACCACAACAACTTCTTTATAATACATCCTACAAAATATGCAAGCTTGTGGTACAAATGATAAGGACCAAAATAAAGCTCTGAACAATGCCTGCTTTCTACTTTACAGGTCGCCATCATTGACTTAATGTGCTTTGGTCAGCCTTTACCATCTAGAAATGGAGACACCCCAGGCAATATTCACACACTGGGTATTGGAACCAGCTGGTGATAGAAGAATCTTAAGAAAAAAGGCTTCTTGATTTAATTGGGAAAACAGGAGGAAGCATAAATTTTACTGCCATTAATAACTTCAAGCAATCTTGATATGACTCTACCTCACCCTGACGGCTAGACATGTGCTTTTTGTTAAAGCGTTTGCCACATCTAACCCCTATTGTTTGCTCACTTGATCAGGTAAGAAAATGTAGGTTTATTTATAGGATAATGAGGCCTATTAAAATTGAGAAACAGTGCAGTAGTCTATGAGGACCTGCGTTCCAAAACAGATGTGTGAAATTCCATAACAGTTTTGTAATAAACAGGCTAAATGAAGTTATTAAACAAAACCTACTTTAAGTTTCTTAAAGAAACCTTCATAAAGGCAACCTAGTTTTTTTTAAAAAAGAAAACACCTACTATTTGGAAAACATTATTCTGACCATTTCCAAAGAGTTTTTAATAATCAAGTCAGAAAAGGCCATTTATAAAATATTGCTCTCTTCACAAAATAAAGGTAAGCTTTATTTCTTCATTTTATGATGATTCTGATAAATTAAAAATTAAGTCATATTGATAATTAATGAAAGAAGTGATTTTCACATTATGGAGGAATTTCAAAGATGTTCAGGCCTTAACTTCTCCAATTTTCTTTTAAGGACCTATGACAGAATGGTCAAAGAAAATAATCCTTAATTTTTAAGTTTAGAGTCCAGCTCTGGCCATCTCCAACAATAAGGGAAATCAGACCTGTCTTAATCGGAAGAAATAAAACATTTATCACTTAACTCTTGACCTGGTCTGACTCCTGACATGCTGATAAAACCTTTCTACAGCCGTGGAAATATCCTGAAACCCAGATTATCTAAGGTGTATCAGGTGCCACTCCTCCTCTCAAAACCACTCTGGGTCCCATCCCAGAATATAGCAACATTTATGTGAATTTAGAAAACCTCAGAAACTCTCATTTATTTTTCAGTGAGGAGAATACAGACTAATATTACTCTGACTAAAGTCTG